TTCTTAGGGTTTCCGCTTTTATTGGATCTGTTAAGCCGTCATTCCTTCATTGACGTTGTTCATAGATCTCAATATTACCCTATTCAATCTTTACAAGTTTGATTCTAAGCAGATATCTGAAAAAGGTCATCATGTCTCACGAAGATTCACAAACCAATCCGATCAATATCTCCAACAACATTGGATCTACAACCAGAATCCCGATTCTATACACTCAAGATTATGAAGTTTGGACGCATCACTTTGAGGACTACGGCGTTGGTTCCGAAGACAATGGTTATCTTATCTGGGAAGCGATAACATTGGGTCATTTTGTTCATTCTGGTACAAATACAACTGTTAAGACTCAAAAGGAGTACAACAAGCTCATAACTGATGTGGAGAAGATTCCTCAAGACGAAAAAGATAAGTTGCTGTGTAATGTTAAAGCCATGAGAATGATTCTATTTGCTTTACAGTCTGATACTTTTCGTTTAGTAAGCTCATGCACCACGACAAAAGAGATCTGGGTTAGACTGAAAGAGCCGTATTTCACTGATGAAGACCTGGAGCATTCTATCCAAACTCTATTGCTCTCTGAGTTTGGTGCTTTCCAACAAAAGCCTGATGAAAAACTTGTTCAGACTTTCAATCGTTTCAACCATCTTTTGAGCAAGATGATCAAGCACGACATTGGAAGGGAAGTGATCGAACAGAAGGTCACATTTATGAATGGTTTAAGGCCCGAATGGATGGCTGTGGTATCAACGGTGAAGGCTCAGGAGCAATTTAAAACCTATTCACTGGCGAAGATGGTAGGTATTCTCAAGTCTCATGAAAGCGTGGTTACTAAGGAAGCAAAAGTAGTGTCTGGTATGGGATCCTTGGCCCTTCTCTCTAAGGCGAAGAATGTGGCAGAGGATGAAGATGAGTCAGAGATTTCAGAAGTGATCTGACAAGCGAAGAATATGCAATGATGGTCTCCAACCCAAAAGGGTTTGCTCGCAAAAAGTTTCCTATTGCCAAGAACCGAAACTGGCAGGGAAGCTATAGCTCAGAAAAGGCCAAAGAGTAGATCAAAAATACTCCTCAGAAAGAAGAAGAGAAGAAGGAGAGCAAATTGGTGAGAGACTCCGGATATGATTGCAACTTCTGCCATGGCAAAAACCACTTTGCCAAAGATTGCATGTTGAGAAAGCTATCGGAGAAGAAAGAGGGTGAAGATGATGAAGCGTACTATATGCGCAAGCTGGAGGAGATAAAGAAGAAGAAAGCCACTAACAGTTCAATGAATGCTTTGATTATGCAGGAGAGCGTTGTGGATAACGATTTCGGTGGTGTAGAGGTCTGGTCTACAGACTTTGAGGATGAAGAAGTGTGTAAACCCACACATGGCAAGGCATTTGTGGCGAAAGAGAAGAGAACTGAGTCTGCCAGGAGATGCTTGATGGTGACAGCTGGAGTGTCATAAATGAGGGGCTACGCAACCGAAGGAGAGTATGAGGAGGCGAATCTGAAGGAAGATAAGTGTTTTGCTGCCAAACCTGTGAGCGAGGGGATCAACGACTGCGATCAGTTGATCAAGAAGGTACAATCCATTCTCGAATCACTTAACATACCTGTAACAAACTATGAAAAGGAATTAAACGATTTAAAATTCAAATTTTCTAGTTTAAGCGGTAGTCTAATGCAAACACGCCTCACAAATGCTAACCTAACCGATCAAATTAGCAGGGTGACATCCAAGAGTGAGGAGCGAAGGATGTGGATAGAGAAGACGGAGTTAGAGTTAGTTAGGATAAAAGATGAAGTTATTTATTTGCAACGTGATAATTTGAAACTTATGAAACAAAGAAACATTTTTTGCTTAATTGCTAAACGTTTATATACAAATATCACTCAGTTGCATTTAGATTATGAAATTGGCAAAAAGATTCACAAAATGATTTTGCCCTTCCTGGAGTTAAAGGAGGACGAAGTTGATATTGATGGTTATAACTGTGAATCTATTGTCTCTTCAGATAATATCTTTGATGCCTATAGGGTTGGTCTGGACAAAATCGAGTCCTTTATCAAGTCCAAAGACAATAAGGACATGCTCAAAAATCTTTTGGACGAGAATGATAAACTGAAAATTAAGATCGAAACCATACCAAAATTTGACTCATTGAATGCCAAGTTAAGTTCAGAAAACAAAATAAATGTTGAAAACACTTCTGAATTTGACGAAGATAG